AGGGAGGTCAAAGCCCTTGGAAGTTGGGTGCAAATAAATAGGGAAATATTATTATCGGGCGAAGAATTGGAGATTTTAGAGTGACAGACTAAAAACCCCAATTTGGTCCTATCGTTTGGGTGCTGAAGTGTAGATGTTAGCCCACAGGTGAGGGGAACGTGGGAGCTCCGAAGTGGGAGCCGGTATCCTCCCAGTCTAGCCACAGAATCAGTAACCAAGCATAGGATTAGTCAATGTTCTTTATGCCTGGACCAAAGAGTAAAGAATATGTATGCTCCTATTTGACACAATATAAATTGAACTAATTCATTTTATCCATTCACTATAATTTCTTGACAAGGAGAATGATGCTTTCTTATATATTGAATATCACAATTAAACCCTACTTTATATCATTAGTTATTTATTAGTTATTAAAATTATCTATTTATTTCAATTGTCTATTAGTGACAGATAAACAAATTGAACGTCGTTGTTGTGATTAAAGTCCTGTTTTTATAAAAGTCTTAGTCCGTGATTCTAAAACACTCCCTGTGGGATCGATATCTAGGACTCCATTAGAGTCCTATATTACTTGAACGATACGTATACTTGCGTTGACCAATTCAATTTTAACATTATTAAATATTATAATTATACAACTTAATCAAATTAGACACATCTATAAAGTCGCGATCAAGTCTTTGGACACTGTTGCTGGAAAATTAAATCTTCTAGTAGCTTCATCAAATTTTTGTATTTGTCGATTACAAAATGAAATCGGTCACATCACGCGCCTAAATTTTGTCTGAGCAGGTATGAAGAGTAAGTTCTCCTTTTGAATGGGTAGAAGAAAGTTAGAGGTGCCTTTGATTTAGCGAAGGAGCCGTTGAGATGTAAGAGCTTGCAATTGAGGTGATGGTGCATGTGCTGACACAACTGATTCACAACTAAGGATATACCAGGTCTACTGATGGTAAAATATTGAAGGGAGCTAGTTAAGTGTCGGTATAATGTGTGTTAAAATTGGTGTCTGGGTTACTATTAGATGGCTGTTTGGAGGGCAGTGGATTAAAAACATGTTTGCATTTTACCATACTAGATTTTTGAAGTAGTTCCACGACATTATTCTTTGGGCTGAGAAGTTCATACGGCTTAAAAATCGCGTGAATGTAAGAGAGAATTAAATGGGTCTTAATTGTTTCATGATGAATTCATTACGTAGACTTTGCAGGAGAGCTGAGATTGCAGCATTCTTGTTTTTTGTATGGAGGATATTGGATTGGGATACTTTTAGTGTTTTTGGGTTAAGTCTTGTGAAAACGGTTAGTTCATTTGTAATTTTGTTGAAATCAAGTTGGGATAGTCCTAAATTTAATGACTAAAGTTTCCAATAAAAATGGTTTTTCAAGAGTTTTATGCACAAAAGACTTGCTATTTCTCAAATAGTTTTTGAAGCATCTCTATAACCAATGCAAAACAATAAAAACATAATATTGATCTTGGATCTGTGTAAAATTGGTTAAAGTTTGAAATGGGCTAGATTTTATATAAAAGAAAGCTAACATCAAATACCTTTCTTACGTCGTAAGATATTAAAAAAATTAATAAGATTGATTTTAAGTTCGAAATTTTATTTTTGATGCTGGTAATGATGATGCTATTGATTTCACAGTCTTGTTTTAACTAGTATAGAACTGCCAAATCTTACATTTTCTTTTTAGAGTGCAGAGAGATGGAAGCACTTGACTGAGAGCGCTGCCCGTCAGAATTTTGAGTTGCATGCATTCCGAGCCGCATTTCAAATGGTAATTGCCGAATTTCATAGTCTCTAAATAGCATTGTCTTTGCATAGTAAAACAAACTTTTATATTCGATATGATTTTCATGTACTTGGGATTTTTTTGGATAATTTTTTGAACAAGGGTTTTCCTGTGCCATATTTCTTGACTTCATTTAATTAAACAGCATTACTCTTATCACTTGCTTAGTATATTTTTCTCATTTAATGGTTCCTTGAATCATCCAAAAATTGTCTTTTTACAACATTCCCTCTCGAATCCTGTGTTGCTCGGCTCTCCTGAAGAATAATGGATATACAGGGCATCTGCAAGCTTTGTTGCTTGATGTCAGTTATCCTTTACATATATGCCACATCACCTAACATTTTTGCATGAGCTATTCCCCTTTGGATTTTTTATATTGTTCCACTTCCTTTAACTGAAAAAACCAGCCAGCCAGACTATAGTTAGCCAAAGTAGTATTCATTATGTTGTGTTTATTATGTAATTTTTCTCTTTCATTTTTCTGGATTATTATATTTTTGAAGTTCCATTGTACTGTGATGAGCTAATCATACTTTCTTTGTTTGCTAATAATTTCTTTTGAAGGTTCTGGATAAGTATTATCCAGAAGTCATCGGATCAAGTCCATCAATTGGACGGCCTGGGAAGGCTCTGCGACGCCAGCAGATGAGAAGAGCAGTACAATCTCAGTTTGGTGCTGAAACTAACATTTCATCATTTAAGTTGAAGGATGAAAACAATGCCGGCAACAAATCCTTTGCTATGCAATCTGATGAAACTGACGCGACTGAAGAACACTGTGATTGTAGAACCCTAAAAGGTCCAACTAGATATGTCTTTTGATGGAATTTAACTTTACAAATTGTTTATACATCATCAACCATGATGAATCCTACCAAAGTTTAAGTTTAGCTTGTCTTTTTTTTTTTTTTACACTGCAGTGAATATAATTAATAACCCAGAAGTATTTTCAGAGAGACCCTGTTGTGAAGGATATAAAGAAGCTCAGTCTTCCACAAGCTCTGATAGATATGCCCTTTTTAAAGTATTCAGCAAGTCTGGATTACATCGTCTGGGGTTGGAAAGTCTGCAGGATTTCAACTTGCTTGAACCTTGGATGAGAGCTGAACCTTTCTTGGTATGGTTTTCTGAACTCTTTTTCCCTTGTTATTGTTCAAGGTTCTTTTATTTTTTTTAACTTTGACTTGGCTCATCACACTCTCTGCTCATATTTATACTTCAAATTTCAATTTTTATTTGCCAGTGTTCATCCGAGTTAGAGGTGATGTAACACAAGCATTCAAAGTTTCATTTCTACACTAGTCTTTTGTTAGTCTTTTCTGTCTGTTGTTGGCTTAACATTTTGTTTAGCAACAGTCATTTTATATGGGCTTTTGTCTTGGAATGCTCGTGGATATATGGCACACTAATCACGAAAGTCCACTTCATGCAGTTTCAATTGAGCCATTATGGGGATTTAAGAATTTGCATATTTCTTTTGTCTCATAATACCAAAAATGATAAAAAATACTAGCGATCCTTATAATTCCTGTATGCTGAATATAATATTTCTTCCCATTTTTTTTTTGTTTTGATTTGAGGCGCCTAAAAACAATTACTAGTTTCTAAATAATTTTAGCTATTTTATCAACAATATCAAAATTTGTGTTTCTGTAATCTTCATATAATTATAACAAAACTAGACAATGTTCTTTCTAAATTTAGACCATCAGATCATTTTAAGTAGTAGTTTTTTGTGATATTATTTGTATTTTTTACGTCTTATTTTGGCTGGCAATAATGATACTGTTGTTGCTGATGATGCTAAACAAAAGTGACTATGATAATTGAATCAAATGTTGAGAAAACAAAAAAAAAATCATTAATAGACGAGTTAAATGTGGAATGAGAATGATAAAAATGGTTTTTTTTTTCCATATGAAGAATAATATTATTTCAAGAAAGTAATGCCAGTGCATCATGCGCAATTAACAAGAAGCTAGAGGGAAGAAAAATACGAACAGGCAAATTCATAAAGCATGAAGTGCATTGATAAACATCCAATATTGCCAAAAAAGTACAAATGAGAATAAGAACCCAATTGGATCGCCAGGCTTGAAGCTTGATGAAAGCTAGGGCGTGACCATCTATTTTATTGTGATTGCATCACCATTCAGTAAAGAGGATAAAAAATTTCCTATCAATCAGAATATCATTACTTATACTACTTCCATCAGAATTATCGGTTGTTGATCATCATGACCATATGTGCCTTCACTTGTTTACAGAATATGTAGAAACCTTGTATTGACGACTATAGAGTAAAAAAGTATTCTCTTGTTTACAGAAGATGTAGAAACCTTGTACTTAGGGCCATCAAGGATAGGCACAGTTGCCTGTGAAAAAAAAAACGAGAAAAGAAATAAGAAAAAAGAGCTATATTAATTAAAATTGAATTAAAATTTATCTAATCGCGCCTTCCCGCCTGGTGGAGCCCGCTTAAGTGGGGTAACCGTTCCCCACTCTCCCCTACAGTTACAAACAAAGGATCAAAGCCCTTTTTTTCCTCATGGGCACTGCTCTATCATTCCCAATTGCTCTTGTTCTTCGTTCTTGTTTTGTTCGTCTATTCCTGTTCTAAGCCGCAAAAGGAGTCCTGTGCCAACGTCATCTTGTTTTTCCTGTCATAAGTCCTCGTCTGCATTGTTTTCCTATTCGCTTTTTATTTTTCCTTCCTTTCCTTCCTCACAACAAACACACTAAAACTACCCTCTGTCATGCCTCCCTTCCACTGTTTCATGCACAATCTTCACGACATGAATCGTAACATTCCTCCTTCACCACTGTGCTGTGCTTTCGCTTTGCACTAGCCTCTGTCCTTCGTTGATTTCACTAGAATCTTTTGTAACAAAATTGCTAGCCGCTATTCCCCTCTCCTGCAAGCTGCATCACACATAGAGATGACAACCTTCTTCTCCGTGGGATCTTCCTCTCCCTGCATGCGGGCAATCTAAAGATCAAGAGCCCTCATTTCAGGCCGCGGTCTTCGTAGCACCATCCTAGCACAAAGCTTGCAAGATCTCGATCCTTTGTTTCTCCCATCACACGACACAATCTCCCCTGCTCTAGAGCTTGCGCTCGGTCCTTCTATGCTGTGATCTTCAAGCCACGCTCTAATTCTCACCGGTCTCGGCGAAGTCACTGTGCACGTGAAGCCAGTCCTTCCTCCCTGCGCCGAAATGCTCCACGATCGAACAGAAGCAGAGCTCCTCTGCCCTAAAGTCCTATCTCCTTTACTTAAACCCATCATTTTCGTTGTTGAACTGACCTCTAATCCCTATTCAAGCACATCCCGATCTATTGAGGGAAAGCCTGATGACTTCTCCCTACCCGAGCACCAAACCTGAGACATTTTTATTTTATATTTGATTTCTGATTTTATATTATTTTGATTTGTTGTAAAAAAAGTGAGGGGCGCAGAAAATATGTCATATACTTTTATGTTTTATTTTACCATTCTATAGTCAATAGCGAAGCTCGAAATGATATATTTTTGGGGCAATGAGTGAAAATTTTTTAAAATATCCACTCGAGGAAATGCGGTTATCTGTTTGTGGGGAAATTAAGTATTATTCAGGAAAAAATACGGATTCAGTTGGAATTTTTTTTTTTAAATAGGGATTTTAAAATATCCGTTCATGGGAAAGTGAATACTCGTCATTGGGGAATTGAGTACCATTCGGAGAAAGTGAAGTACTGCTCGGAGTTTGCGATCTAACATTTTGTGCAGGTACATTGAGGGTTCGTTGCGTCTTTTAAGATCGCGAGTTAAGTTTACACTTTTGTTCCTCGGTCGCAGTGTCTCACAACTTAAGATAACTGAGAATGTTGACATAATCTGGTGCCCCCAAACGGGGGTTGATGCCGGGAGGTTGTCGGAATTTTTGGTGAATTTGGACTTCTAAATAAGAAAATTTTTGAATTTTGGGGCTTATAAAATAAAAATAAAATGTGAATCGTTTGAAACTTTAAACATTTGAAAATTTGAGCTTTTGAAATGTAGGCTCTTGATTTTAAAAGTGTTTAAAGTCTCATGCTTTTGAAATTTAGGGTGCGTTTGGGGCATTTTATTTGCTGCGGGAGCATTTTGAAAACGGCGCTGCATCGTTTGATTCTTGTGTTTGAAAACTTGTTAAGAAATGACATTTTAGAATTTTTAATCGACAGGGCCGCGAGATCGACCCCGTGACGCGCGTATTGGATTCATGTTCGAATGATTATTCATTTGGTGCCCTTCTGTTGTCTTTCTCCTCCTTTGCTCAATTTCTCTTGACTTCGGTTGATCACAGGAACGTCCCTGGCCTCTCGCTCGACCAACCACCTCATCGAAAACTTCGAACTGTCTTCACCCTCTCCTTCCTCTTTTTCCTCCTACCAGTATCGCCTTCTCATCCGTCAGATCCGCCGAAGCATTGAAGCAGGTGATGTCGATGGCGTTGTTTATTTACTGTGGGAGCACGTGTCGGTGGTGCTAGATAACCCCAGATACTCTTCCAACTTTAGTAGCAAGTAACCCCTTTTTTGCACGGTGATGATGCTTTGGGGAGAAGCATATCAAATGTGATGTATTCCTACGACGTATTGCCAATATATCTGTTGAACTCGCTTTCGGTCGAGGTGTAATTTTCCCCTCCTTAGTAGCCTAGGATCTAGCCGTAGGATCTTTCTGTCGACTACTCCTAGAAAACTAGTGAATGATCCCTCCCCGTTAGCAATTCTTGACCTTTCTTCGCTCAACTTGACGTTCCATGTAGTAGTCTTGACCGCTATTGTTTAGCAGGTAAGGCTACTCCGAAGGAACTCAAGGAGCATTCCTATAGGACTGCCAGCCTTATGATTGACTTTACTCGTTGATTTTGCGCCGCTGCGCTCTGTGCTGTCCTGTTTAATCGAATTCGAGCCAAAATTTTCGTAGGATTCAGACCGCGACGTGTTTTTAGCCTGATCGACGATGAGGTTGTCCGGACGACTCCGGATGACGAAACGGACTGCGCCAATGCGTCCGGAACGTCGATTTTTCTTGATTTATATGATATTTTATAATGTAGGCTATTTAAAGATATGGATCAGTTTATATGGTAAACGGTTGTAAATTTTATTCATATAATAAATAATATTTTATTATTATTATTATTATTCTAATTGATAACTTATATTAAAACCCTTAACCTAAATTCTTCTCCCTCCCCGCCTCATTCCTTCGAACCCGTGGGTCTGCCTTAGCCCTAGGACGGCTCGTTCGGTCGCCCGGCCCGCTCCTTCTTCGTGTCGTTGGGGAGGTTTGGTTCCCGCGTTCGCCTCTCGCACGTGGGACAAATCACACAAGCGCCCATCCCTCGTATCCTATCTTCTGCGATATGGGTTCGATCTCCTCTGCCACGAATCGTATCCTCTGCGAGGATCTAATCCTCTGCATCTCTCGATCCCTCTGTCGTATCTTCTTAATCATTCGTCTCCTTTGCCCTTAAGGTATATGAGAGCTCCTCTGTGAAGCTTCTAAGAGGCCGAAAATATTTCTAAGAGAGAAAACTCTGCTATTTTTTTTCTCACTCACTTTTTTGATCTTCTGGTGCTTGAATCGATTTCCTCCTGCTGTTGGGAGAGGAAGTGAAGTTGTGGAGTGTTTTTAAAGTTTCTGTGTTACTTTCTTTTTGCTTCAAAGAGGTACCTTCTTTCCCCTCCCGTGCATTGCTTCTTTTCGGTCTTCCCTCTGCCGAGCCTTTGAGCTTGGTGCGGTGGATGGTATAGCATGCTTGCATGACATTACACTTATATATATTTTTTTTGAAATACTTGGTACTCAAGCATTTAGAAATGGAAATGTCAACATGTTCTAGGAGCTAGACTTGATTACTTGCTTAAAGTGGTGAAGCTATGACATGTTTCTATTTATTGTAGCATATTTCTATGGGACGCAAATCAGAAATATTAGAATATGGCTTTGAGACAATGGTAGCTCCTCTTGCAAGCATGTTGAGATATGTATCACGAGGCTTTTCATTTATTCTTATCTAGCATGAGACATTGGAAGGTTTATCTGGTCTTTCACGCATGTGGGGGCTCAGTTTTGGCTTCCTG